ATTCGCTATAAAATTATGCTACTCCTGATGATATAGTGTACTTCGCATAGGCCAAAAGACGGGTCATATAAATTATTGAAAGATTTTGGTTACGGACAAATTTATGGCCTGAAAAAATTGCCGCGGCGTCGCGCGCGGCGCCGCGGGCATGTTCCGACGCCCTCGTACACGACGAACGGTGATTTTAGTGCGTGAAATGATAGACATACTATAAACCATGTATAAAACTCAACGTATAATCGGTTTTACACGCGCATAAGGATAGTTCACTCGGTGCATGTGTAGGTGTCGTTCTTCGCCGGCGCAGGTTCGCGGACTCATCGTGGCTTCGTCCTCCAAAGGCACGCTTGTGGACTTCACTCGCGGCAAATACAAGCTTAACACTCGATGTATTGCGCAATCACGCGACCGTTCATTGCGCGTTTCTTTTGTATTCGCGTACGAGACGGCGTATCTTTGTCCGCAAGTCCCTACATATAGTTTGTTTTGCTACTAGAAGGTTGAACGTCACATATAGCACTACAAAATAAGAAATGTTCATTCATGTGAGAACATTTATAGGTGGCGCTGTGTGAGGTATGGCCAATGAATCACCGTCACCACCAATCACCGTGAATCTCAATAAACATATTACATAACTCCTGAGCACACACAAAAGAAATAAACACCCACTTCACATATGCACCACTAATATCACGTGAATCTCAATAAACATCATTCCATAACTGCTGAGCACACACAAAAGAATAAACGAACACCCACTTCACATATGCACCACTAATATCACCGTGCACTATCTATTATAATCTTGCACCTCTACAGATGTGCTGCCCTCCAGCGGAAACTGTTTCTAGCGGCTAACCCCATTAGTAGCTGTGGGTTTTTTTAATATGCTCTATAATTCGGAAATATCCACGAATCATGTTTGGGGTTACGACTAATGTTACGACTGAACCTAATAACTGAATATTAGATGCATCGTTACACGTATTTCCCGTCATAAAAGCTCGTTTGCTTATATCAAGAAACCAGGCAAAATTCAATTATTATACATTGTATGTATTATAAAATACTATGTATTATAAAACATACTATGTATTATAAAATACATAGCCAGAATCAGTTGGTCTTTAATCGTACTTCTCAAAAAAATATGTTGCAGTCGTCTACCGCTCTTGAAACTCTCGTCCAGGTGGTATGCTGATCATGTATATGCAGTGCTGCGTTAAATGTGTGTATTACACCTAGTAAGACGAACGATATCTATATTTGTTCAGTCCTCCGTCGGGCAAGCAAAGGTTGTTTGTTGATACTTATAATGCGCGGTTTTGTTCCCGCGTAGATAGTTCACCATATTGTGCAGTTAAACTGCTCGGTTCAAAACATTGCTGCCGCCCACGGCACATCATCGCTCTAGTCCGGAATAAGCGAAATAAAATAAACCTACAAAAAAATTACAATTTGTTACTTTTTGAGATTGTATACACATTATAATACGACACTGGTAGGATGATACATAGTGAAACAATGTGTCGTAATTGGGCTATCGTAAAATGGGCACGGGTTTTAAGGGACATATATATCAGAATATCCTCACTGATCTAGTCTCGTAGCACAGCCAATTCACTGGAGATTCGGCGTAGTAAATGTTTGACGTATTAATGCATACGTATAACAGAAGTAGACTCTCATATGTGCATGTTCTGAAACATCTTTAAGGTAATGCAATCACTAAGGCAAAGCAGTCTCCCGCGGGAACAGCGTGTAAACATGCAGTCTTTCAGGATCGTCATTGTTGATGTATTAAGGCATAGCAATAACAAAAATAGCTCCTCAGTAGAGTCCGTGCAGAAGTATTCTTTTAGAGAAGTTATCGAAGAAATAGTCTAGATAGTCTGGAGAATCTGTTAAGATATCTCTTCACTGCAGAGATAGTGTTGTACTGGGAAAAGGTTGAAGATCTCCGTGTAGGATTCTGTAGCGTCGACAGCGTAGACTTGTAGCAACCGTAGATTGTAGCAAATAGCAGATTGTAGCAAATAGCAGTTTGTAGCAACGTAGAGTAGCGACAACCAGTAGGTATGACGTAGTCGCTGATTCGTTGTTGAACCAGAGAGACATGATACAAGATTGCGTGGCACAGCTTTGCTGTTGATCCTAAGCGCTGCGC